CACAGGAATCGTTGTGTGCTGTGCAGTCGCTTCTGTCACTGTCAGTTCAGTTGTCGTCACCGATGGCGTCTACCGTGTGCCCCACAGCATGGTAGGAGTAGGGACGATGACACTCGCTAGATTGGTTTATATTGCTCGTAGACTTGTGTTGCATTTGCAGCACTTTCTGCTGCTCACGCATGAAAAAGTCACAGAGACCGGGAGCGGAAGAAAGCGTACATTAAGGTCGATAGTTCATGCAAATTGCCGAAGTTTTCGACGCGGGAGTTTCTTTGGTAGCGCACATATATTCTTATTTATAGTTAAATGCCTACACAATTAATTTCTGTTGGGGTTAGGGTTAGGGTAAGGGTTAGGTTTATGGTTAGGGTAAGGGTAAGGGTAAGTGTTAGGGTTAGGGTTAGAGTGAGGGTTAGGGTAAGGGTTAGGGTTATGGTTAGGGTTAGGGTAAAGGGTTAAATTAAGGTTTAGGGTTAGGTTATGATAATGATATCGCATATAAAATGCCCCAAGTTTTTGTCTTACGAGAAGCGTTGGAGTAGGCCTTTAAAGTTAAATACGAACATATGTGCTCTACCAAGGAAACTCCTGCCGTTTTCGAAAGCTTGATAGTCCCCCGCAAAAAATGCGTTAAGTAGGGCTGCAATAATGATTAAATTGCCACCCAATCTAAAGTCATTTTATACAGATGACGATGCCGGCTTTTTAGCAAGCCCCTTTCTGATCGCTTACTTAACTTTTGCCCTATAAGAAGTGGCTGCTTCAGCAGTATGCATTTAACTCATTAATTTTCTGTGCCCTTTTACAATACCATATATTTCATAGAAAACATGCATGAAAATATTCCTTCTTGTGCTTGTTTGATATCGAATCATGCCTCCTTTAACGGTCTTACTTAAAGAAGTGATATTTTCAATTTGAAAAAAATGCTTCTTCATTGCCGAATAATTCTGAAACCTACACACCGTTACAACTGAATTCCAGGTTTCCAACCTGCATGTTGTGTACATCCTGCCTTAGGATAAGTAGTTTTATCCCGTTGGTCACATATTTCTCATAACGTTTTTCTCATATGTTTTTATAAGCGGTCAGGAAGAAGCTCGTCACAGAGCCGGCCTGATGACGTCACTTAAACGACTTGCGATTAGGCTGCACTGCAACCAGTATTACTCTCATCCTTGATGCTGATGTGCGAGTGATAATCAATCTTTCTCAAATTTCGGCATTTTGCATGACATACCGACCGTACTGTAGTTGGCCGTTGTGGCAAAATACTACCTACAGGTGTGCCATCACACTTCTCGCCCCCTATATGTGCGATAATTGTTTTTGATTTGCGTCCCCACTAGCGTATACCGTGCCCTCATCTGGTCCTCGTGTTAACGCGGAACATCCACCAAGTGGACCCTTTAAGGCGCACGTTCTTCTTCAATAACCTATGCCTACGCCTCGCAATCAAGGGTTCTAAAGTTAGGAGAAAAGACATGACAGTGCTTAAGTGGAACAAAACCCAAGACTCGTAACACAATTTCTCACTAGCGATGAGTTTTTTGACGACTGCGTTGTCCTTAGACAATAAGCAAACTTATAGGTTTACATAGATGCGAAAAAATAAATGGGCCTGCTTAAACAGCTCTGAAGAGTGTTTTTCAGGGAGCACAATGTACTAAACGAGCAAACCTGGATTCTAGCGAATAGAAACAGTTCTGCTGTTCAGAGATTTGACTGTCCCTCAAAAGGAGTGTGTAGCTTATTTTCAATGGTAACAGATTTTTCCCTTTTCAGCACCTTTTAGTAACATTTACCATTTTATATTTCACTTGGCCTAAAGGTGTTTAGTATACAATGGAATGATGCCCAAACTGCGTAACTAAGGGCAACCGTAAAAGATGGCACCTCCGCTAAATTTGGAATTAAATATTGCATGCCTGTCTAATGGGAGATCGTGGTGCTTTTTAGGACTTACGCTAAAGGTCTACAACCCGCTTATTTGGGTGCAAATCCAGTCGAGGTGGATAACGCTGGCTTGTTAAAAATATGGGATAAAGAGGGGTGTTTGTCTGGAACCTCAGGGTATGGCATTTATAGTGACGTAAACTACGGGTATAATAAATTATTGTGGAAAATTATTTTTATATCGGCATTTACGTCTACAATGACTTTCTTGTGCTTTATGGAGATTGAATTAAATGTCTACAGTCCATTCATGTGGGAATGGGTCCAGCCCAGGCTTATAAGGCCGGCTTATTGATGGTGGCGGGTAAAGAGGTGTGCTTGTCTGGCGCTTTCGGAGGTGTTTGGAATGGTATTTATATTGACGTAAACTGCAGGTATTATAAACGATTTTTAAAAAAATGTGTCTATCTTTTAAATTATCGATAACCATATATCATGCGTGAACATTCACTAAACTGCACGTGTGAAATGTCAGATAATTTCCACTTTGCTGAATCCTTTGTCCACTATTTTCTACCTCTAAAACAAAATATGGCCTTTGTTCGCGGATGCTCACTTATTGCAGTTCTCTATTCCAACTCCTAACAAATATCTTACAGAGCCCTGTTTTATCCAGTTCGATATACAAATTTCCCTTTCAGATAATTTCGAACATTTTTGAAAAAGGTATTCATAAAATGCAGCAACTTATCACTTCCAAATACACTTTGGGCGGTCGAAAATAACTTAATTTTTATTATTTTTTCGATTACTGTGAGTAAATCCGGTTAACATAATGAATAGAAAGGTGTGTTTTTCTGGCGCCTGGTTAATTCTTTTGCGCAATATGCACATTTATGTGGCCTGCGACTAGGATTTTTTTGAAAGAGGTTTTATAACGTTCTGTTAGCAAAATAAATAAAAATACATTATGCCTGACCTCTCCAAACAATCTCTCTAAAACTCTTCCCCATGCGCATTCGGTTTTCCTTTATTTCCTTGTTCAACTTAGGTTATGGTGAATACCACGACACAAGGGTAGACTTTAAAAGTCTAACTTTCCAACAAAAAGCCCATTTTCCTATGCTAGCAGGGGGCGGCACGCTTCAGTTTTAAATATTCCCAACGGCTCTTCAGATGGGTTTCTATCAAACTGTGACAAGTAATTATAAGGTAGAGATAACGTCTAGACTATTCAGGCGTTACCTATTTAAGCGGCATTAAGCGTTTGATTTCTGTAACATATTGAGTATACTATATTTACTTTTCAAAGAAGTTATTTTTCCTGAAGAAATTCCGCAATGACGCAATGGCAGACTCGTAGATATTGACATAAATAAAATACGTACGCAGGCTGATTGTAGCAAAGCATGTGGTTTGATGTTATTTTTCAGTAGACAGTGGAAGAACACGCACAAGAAGGCAATTAACGTTAATTGTCGCTGTATGCTTGGAGTAATGACTGTTTCCTATAAATACTGCAAACTTCTGTGCCTCCTTAACCTGTTTCTGCTACTCATGTCTCTGATGACCAATCCGCGACGGATATCGAAACGTCAGGCGAATAAACATCTTTTCCCAGCAATCGAGTCTTCTTCTTCTTCTCAAGTGGAAGAACTGTTGCAATTCATTTACCAAACATTTCCCTAACTTTGCATTGCCGTATGGCGTTTTACTTATATAAAAGGCACTTTTTTCTTTGGCGAGCATCATTTCACGCTATCGGTCAGAGGGCATGATCTTAAACGATAGCAATCGTCTACACTGATTCGGACTTCTATATATAATTACAAGTATAATAATGCAATTACTGTCTTTTACATGAAATTTCCCTAAGCACACACCCATTACCAGATCAGAGACGTAATACCACTTTTAGGATTTGAAACTCATGGGTTTTTGGTATCTTTGCGCATGAAAGTGCAGTGTTGAAAACTCACTTGGATGATAATTGAAAGCATTAAGTCGAGTTTCGCACCAAATGACGCAAGACGGCAATATTTGGGGCAGATCACTTAACCTCGTTTCAATACTAGAGTGGGTAAACTTAGTACGCAGTTCAGCTGGCTTGGGATATTTTGCGTTAAGGTACGGATTGAGCACAAACCTTTGTGCGATTACTTATATCTATAAATCACTCGAATCAAGAAGGATATTATTGTGGTTAACTCTATTTATATGGATACTGCAAGTTTGCTCTTTATTTTGAACATATTAGTGGAACTGTAGGGTCTTTGTAGGCCGTGCATTAATATTCCTGTAACAATGTCCGACTCAGTTCCCGTTTATATATTTTCAAATAGAAAAGGTTCTTCCTGCTGGCTAGTAACTTGTCCTGTAGGTGGTTAGTAAAGTGCTCGTCGATGTTTTAAGGGAGGTATTAAAACATGGCAAAAGTGATTTACATAATGTTACTCATATATCATAAGAGGACATTGAGTCGGTGTCCTAGGCATTTAAATTTTCCACTTGACGGATGGAGAAGATATGAAAACTCAGAGTAATATTTCAGAGAGATGTTAAGATATCTGCAGTTGAGAATGCTTTTTAAGGTCAATACGCATGACGATAAAATCAAGACTCAAATAGGCAACCTCTATATCATAGTACTCACGGTTATAGTTCCCAGAATTTCCAAACGGTTTCCTGGAGCAATACCCACTTTTCCGCGAAGGCTGCATATCCACCAACCTTCGTATCCTTCAGGGTCTTTCTTCAGTACCGTGAGCACATCCCCTTTAACAAAACCGAGTTCCTGCGAATATTCTGGATTATTATCATAGAGAGCCCGCGCTAGAATCGTATCCTGCGGTTTCTTGATTGATGAGTTATTAGGGTCGCCTTTTACTTCCATGCTTAGGACCTCCTGTGGCTATATACCATTTAGCTTGATTTGTTGATGCTTCATGGGAAACACGTTTCACCAAAAGGCTCAATTCAGCTCTTTTTGCCGTGTACGCATCTGCGCATATTCACTGATTTCACACTGATGTGAAGACTACGCGCCAATAGTAGCTTTGGTTAGGCGAATAATATTCAGGAGGTGTGTAGACCAATAGAATTGTGGCAGTAAAGTGACCAGTCCAGAGCTGAGCACAGACGACCAATCAGAAAATTTACGTCAGGAGTAGGCTTAGGCTGAAATGTCTCAGCAGTAATCAATATGCTCTGAAAATCGCATCACTAATCCTGAAAAAATTGGCTCAGTTCGACTGTTCTAAGGTTTTTTTGAAAATATTTCCACGTCAGTCCCGACTTAGTTGAACCAATAGGCGTACGACCTACTTTTTTTCTGGTTTTGGAATTTTGCGATGCCATAAAGACTTTTCAGTCCAAAGGAAAAAAATCTTCGCCGGAAGAGGTTTATTTTGTATCTGACGTTTCGGGTAGTTGTCTCATTTTAGCCGGGATTGGCAGACTACGCACATGGAAAGAGGAGCTGCATATTGAGAGAACCATGAGCCAGAATATTTATTGTCTGAATATGGGTAGACAAAGGCAAATACCCGAAAAGTCAGACACAGAATAAATCTCTCCCGGGTACTGCTATTTCTTCCATTTAATTACCACCTGGGAATCGAATTTTTCATCCTATTACTTATCAGTGCAATTTAAAGCAAAGATTCCCAGAGCCAAGAAGCCTAGTTAGGTTTGAAACAGGAAAATAGAACGCCTCTTTCCTCCATGACAGTACGTTTAGTAGATATGGGCCATTCTGTGGACCCTAAATCTTCCTTCCCAGTACTTGTTCGAGCGCGAACAACGCGTACCTTGTGCTACCTGGAGGTAGCCTATATACGGTGGTCAACAACAGACGTCTTTAAACACTAAATGCACGTGGTTAACCTAGCTTTGCCCTGGTAAAGTCCGGCTCCTAGATTTACACAGTCTCTTTCCAAACTTTTTTGCCTTCGACATTTTTCCCCACCTTTTTTGCTGCCCACAGTGTTTTAACTTTCTTACGTCATTGGTCAGCCTCTAAGCCATTTCCTATGACCTTGCTGTTTGTATCAATTTTTCTGTATGAATTCAATTTTATACATTCTCTTACGCTATTCACTTTAGGCGATGAGAGATAGCAGCTGATGAGTGCTCCTGAAATGTATGGATCCAATACATTCTGCTGTTCTTGCAATCTACAACTATCAGTGCAATGTTAGATTCCTGTCGTTCTGGGCAGTTGGGTTACCAGGCATTCTATTTGCTGGTCACCCGGCGTGACTGGCTGTCAGCTATGGTCAGTATCGACATAAGTGGACTCTCGGACGTGAGGAATAAACAGCTGCGGATAAGCAGTGGCAGCAAAGGGTAAAAACGGTAGTGTTCTGACATTAAAAGAATTAGTCGCTGTTATATAAGTCACCGCAACTTTCCGTTCGGTTTTTGACTATGTGTGAGTTCGACCACGGTAATCGGTGATGTCCACCATATGCTCGAGAGCAGGGACGGTGACTGCGGCCAATTATAATGCAAGTAGACGCACCGCAGTCTTCCCCATTCTAAACTGTCATCAGCTTTGTTCAGTGATAAGACAAAGTCGAGATGACCGAGCAAGAATCAGGCGTAAGCTGTTTTGTTCAGCCAGAAACGCCGCCTAACTTAATATTTAGTGACAGTAGACTTTGCGCGGGTACTACTGCACTGCCTACGCTCACTCACCTATAGTAGGTGTCTAGCTTGATTCTAAGAATCCAGGGCTCGTTCAGCTAACAAGAACTACTGCTATTTCTAATATTACTATTAGGGTGCAACCGAGTGATATGTTAATTCGTACTATTTCAGTCTGTATTGTAATTTAGAAGTGACGCTGGTTAAAGTCAGCACAGGGTTCATTTCCCCCCAATCTCAACAGGAAGTGTAGTAGTAATGATGTTAGCACTGATGCAATGTTAGATTCCTGTCTTTCTGGACAGATGGGTTACAAGGCATTATATTAACTGGTCACCCGGCGTGTCCAGAAATGAAGTCTTCAGGGGACTGGCTGTCAGCTATGGTCAGTATCGACATAAGTGAACTCTCGGACGTGAGGAATAAACAGCTGCGGATAAGCAGTGGCAGCAAAGGG